TGCAGCCTGCAGGATCGTTAGCCATGGCATGTGAACTCTTAGCTGCACATGCTGAATCTAGTTCCCCAACCAGGGACTGAACCCAAGCCCCCTGAATTGGGAGCTTGGAGTCTTAGCCACTGGACCACCAGGAAAGTCCTGAGGAAAGTTTTTTAGAGTCCCTCTTAGCCCCACCAGGATATTAATATACACATCAGACGCTCATTAAGCCCTGACTGTGTCACTGTGCTGGAGCCAGGAAGAGAAACATGAATAAGATATGCTACCCTCAAGGGCACCCAGGCAGGTTAAAGGAGGCAGGAGAGACCTGAGTAGGACAGAATATTAGTAATTAATAATGCATGGATGTCGGGCTCACTGTGCAGGCTCTATTCTCAGTGCTTGTATCAATCTGATCCTGTGAGGTGGGTACTGGATTACTCCATGACAGATGAGGAAATCGAAGCACACTCATAGCCCGTGAGCTGGAGGTCCAGATGCCTCCGGAGGCTGCGGTTTGAACCCCATCCCCTGTTGTTGTTCCACATGGAGTGAGGAGGCACGGGCCAGGGGATTCAGAAAGGGGCTACTGGCCTGTTCAGACCAGCCTCTCAGATGCAGAGCCACCTGATCCACCCTCTCCTGTTCTGTTTCATCTCTTAGATCCTCCTTGCCACACCCGTCATGGTCTGTCTGTCTGTCTGCCCCTCTCCACTAGGTCAGTTCCCCTTATGTCTTTATCCTCCATGTCCCAGATCCCAGTTCCTGAAGGTGTGTGCTGGAATTAATGACTGGACAGGTTGTATCTGTGTGTCTTTGGCATGGGGGTGGGGGTGGTGACCTGCACCAAGGCAGTGAGTACAGAGGTGGAAATCATGGGCCTGGGTGTTGATTGGCTATGGGGACGAGAAGCCAAGTCTGGAGAACTAGCTGCCAGGCAGGTCTGGGCACAGGTGACCCCTGTGTGGTGGCCACGCACACAGACGGGGACATGGGCAGAGGACCAGGGGGAGGGGACTTCAGGCAGTGGACCCCAGTGGGTTGCCGGAGGCCCTGGTTCACCAGTGGTTTAAGCCCTAGAATAGTTGGCATCATCTGGAGAGTGGGCCCACCTAGAAGCAGATGGAGTCTCTGGAGAGCACGATATTAACCAGGATGGACAGTGGTCAAGGACGATCTGGAGATGCAAGGACTCGAGGACGGGAAAATCACAGCAACTGGGGGCCATTTAGTTTAGGGGCAAACAGTGTTCACAGTAAAGTGATGAAACAAAGCCACAGAGTTCTGGTACCCTCAGAATACCGTGTCCCACGCCCCGTTAACTTTGGGGATGCTTAAAATGATAAAGCTTCAGGTGCAGAGAGCAAACATGTGGACACCAAGGGGGAAAGAAAGGGTGGGATGAATTGGGATTGACATATATACACTACTGATACTATGTGTAAAACTGACAACTAATGAGAACCTACTATATAATATAGGGGAATCTACTCAGTACTCCATGGTGACTTCAATGGGAAGGAACCCCCAAAAGAGGGGATACATATTGGAGAAGGAAATGGCAACCCACTCCAGTATTCTTGCCTGGGAAATCCTACGGACAGAGGAGCCTGGCAGGCTACAGTCCATGGGGTCGCAAAGAGTCAGACACGATTTAGCGACTAAACCACTACCATGTATACATATAGCTGATTCACTTGCTACAGCAGAAACACAACATTATAAAGCAACTATACTCCCATAAAAGTTAATTTAAAAAACTATAAAGCTTCAGTTAATCTGAAAATTTCACCTCCTCCCAAATGACTCATCCTCTGTATGTTAAGGATAATAAAGCTCCATCCTTCTTATATAGCTGGGGTTATTTATTTTCAGTGGGAATGACCTACGATAGAAAATGTCTTAGATCATTTGGAGTTCTTCCGTATCTGACACCACATCCACCCTGTATGCAATAGGGCAGTTTGCTCCCATTTTCCAGAAGAGATGACTGAGGCCCCAATTGGGAAGGGTCTGGAAAGCAGACCTTCTAGGGCCTCGAGCAGAGCCAGGACTGAATCAGCACATCACTTCATTATTCAGCCCACTGTGCAGGGTTGGGGCTCCTTGGTGCCATGATCCCTCCAGGCAACAAGCCAGAGAGTGGACAGAATCCAATGCACATAAGAGACGAGGTATGCAAACTTCCAATTGTCCCTGACTCAGAGGGGGGTGCTCAGCAAATATTTACCAAGTGGACAAAACTTTCATCATCCCTGTTATACGATGTTGCAAGTTCCTGGAACACACCCAGCGAGGTAGGATGGATGCTGGCAGAGGCCGGGACCCTGCGGGGAAGAGTTAATTATTCCGGGAGTTCAGACTTCCAAGGCAGGGCTCCAGAAGGCCCCAGGTCTTTCCTAGCCAACTCCTGAAAAGTTAAACCAACTGCAGCTCCAAGAAATCTAAAAAGGCACGCCTCCGTCTCCCTTCTCCCACCCCCGAGAAGGTTACCTCTGAATTTTTCTAGATCCATGGAGAACCTTCCAGGAGGAAAAAGCCCCAGCTCAGATTAGCGGGTTCCTTGCTTGTGGGCAGGGATTGGGGAGGGAAGGATGATGGGTCTGGGGTTGGGGGTGGGAGCCTAAACCAAATCTCCTCGCTCAAAACTCAGAGCCTGGATCAAGATACTTGGCCACCTTCCACAAGCTTGCCACATGTGTATCCAAACCCTGAGTTCTACTCCCTTCTCCCCTTGATCCTGAAATTGGGAAAACCAACTCAAGTTTTCCTAATCCACCAGAGACGCTCCTATCCTGAGAATTCTAACTCTGTTTAGGCTCCTCTCTCAAAATAGCCATGTGCCCTTCGGCAAATCACTCAACATCCCTGAGCCTGTCTTTCCACTTGTGAAATGTTATTGTTCAGTAGCTAAGTAATATCTGATACTGTGACTTCATGGACTGAAGCACACCAAGCTTCTCTGTCCTCCACTGTCTCCTGGAGTTTGCTCAAATTCATGTCCATCAACTCGGTGATGCTATCTAATCATCTCATCTTCTGTCGTCCTCTTCTCCTCCTGCCTTCAATCTTTCCTAGCATCAGGGTCTTTTCCAACGAGTTGGCTCTTCACATCAGGTGGCCAAAGTACTGGAGCTTCAGTTTCAGTATCAGTCCTTCCAATGAATATTCAGGGTTGATTTTCTTTAGGATGGACTGGTTTGATCTCCTTGCTGTCCAAGAGACCCTCAAGAGTCTTCTCCAGCACCACAGGTCAAAAACATCAAGTCTTTGGCGCTCAGCTTTCTTTATTGTCCGACTCTCACATTCATACGTGACTACGGGAAAAACCAGAGCTTTGACTAGATGGACCTTTGTCGGCAAAGTGGTGTCTTTGCTTTTAACACCTTGTCTAGGTTTATCATAGCTTTTCTTCCAAAGAGCAAGAGTCTTTTAATTTCAGGGCTGTGGTCACTGTTTGCAGTGATTTAGGAGCCCAAGAAAATAAAGTCTGTCACTGTTTCCATTGTTTTCCCATCTACTTGCCATGAAGTGATGGGGGGCCCAAATGCTATGATCTTAGTTTTTTGAATGTTGAGTTTTAAGCCAGCATTTTCACTCTCCTCTTTCACCTTCATCAAAAGGCTCTTGTGAAATGAGTCTGTTGTAAAATAGATCATTTCACCATTTCTCTCTAAAAATATACACTGGGCCAGTTTCTCCATCCTGGCTGGGAGGCTTTTACAGGGCTGGAACATAATTTTCATGCTCGCATTCCCTGCCCCCAATGCTGGAAGTACAGGAGACACTCAATGTGCTGATAAAGTAAGTCTTTTACAAAATAACAGTAACACTCAATATTGACTCTGTGCCTGCCACCAACCTAAACAGTTGCTATGGATTGTCTCATTGAATCCCCATGTTGCTGAATGAAGGTATGATTACACTCATTTTGAAAGTGAAGAAACTGGGACTTCCCTGGTGGTCCAGTGGTGAAGACTCCACAAGTTAAATGCAGGGGGGTGTGGGTTCAATCCCTGGTGGGAGAATGGATCCTACATGTGGCTCACAACAAAAATAAATAGAAAATTAAAAAGAAAAAGATGGGGGCTTCCCTGGTGGCTTGGTGGCAAAGAATCTTCCTGCCAGTGCAGGAGACACCGGTTCGATCCCTAGTCAGGGAAGTGTGCCACAACTACTGAGCCCACACTCTAGAACCCCGGAGCTGCAACTACTGAAACCTTTGAGCCCTAAAGCCTGTGCTCCATAAGAAGAGAAGCCACCGTGATGAGAAGCCCGTGCACCGCAACTAGAGAAAACATGTGCAGCAATGAAGACCCAGCATAGCCAAAAATAAATAAAATTTTAACAGCAGCAACAAAAGATGAAGAAACTGAGGCTCAAAGAGGCTCAGCCTTGTGTCCAAGGTCAGGCAGTCTTGCATGGGGCAGGGGAACCGGAAGCCAGATCAGACCTCATGTGTGTTTGCCAGCACACCCAACTCCTTGAAGAGGCAGGGACATTTTTAAGAGAGAAAACGAGGTTTGTCTGAAACCAGCTGGAGAGGAAGATTCCTGAACTGTTAAATTCGGCCCCAGGGGGAAGGGTTTATGATGGGGAGATGGGGGTTCCCTCCATGTGGAGACCCCGGTCTATATTGGTCCTGACTGCTGTCACCAAGTACGGCCATTGCTCCTACAGCACTGGTGCTCAACTAGGGGTTTTTTTTTTGCCTCTTGGGGGATACTTGGCTTTATCTGGAGACATTTCTTTTTCTCACAGCTGGTTGGTGCTGCTGGCATCTCACGGGCAGAGGCCACAGATACTGTCGAACACCCTCCGATGCCCAGGATGGCTCTTACCACGAAAGATTATCCAGCCCAAATGTCACTTGTCCCAAGATTGAGAAGCCCTGGGCTATGAAGATAGGGCTCAGGGCTGGGCTTTGGCCAGGTCCTTGTCTGAAATCCCTTCTTTGAAAGTACGTATTATTCCCATTTTATAAGTAAGAAAGCTGAGGCTCAGAGAGGTGGGACCTCTTATTCAGACCTTTTATTCAGAAAACCAGGATTCTGTCTCATTGGTTCCCCACCATCCCTGTGGACTAGGGAGAGACGACTCAGACTCAGAGGTGAAAAAAAAAGTAAATTCAGAGTCAGATAATCTGGATCTGGTTCCAGCTGTGTCGTGAGTTCATGGTGTGTGCTTGAGTAAGTCACTGCCCCTTCTGCTTTTTTTTTCCTTCTGGAGGTGCCCCCAGTACTGGCTGACACCTGGGTCTTTGCTACCAAGAGATGCCTCAGGGGCTGTTAGATGCCTGGGGGAGGGGTCACCCAGGTTACAACAGGGGGAACCTGGGGCCTTCTGACATCCATGTTCATCCTTGCACATAGAACAAACACGGAGGGAGAAGAATAGATTCCTTACCCTTGAGAAGCCTGGGGGATAAGGGTTCTTTCTCCTTGAGCAGAAAGGATCAAACCCCCTCATATTGCCCACCCCCAGGTAGCCCCAAAGGCAAGGCTCCAAGGGTGGCTCTCAGAGTCTAAAACTAGATTCCCCTCTAATTTGACTAAACTCTGCCCTTCTCCAAAACATCCTGGCTGGGCTGGAATGGGCCTCCTCAGTGTGGTACAGCCTCCTATTAAGTTCTGGAACCATATATCTTGAGATGTATTACTTACCCATGGGGAGGGGCTGGCTTTGGGTGGGACTCCAGACATAGCACAGCAGATTCACCTTAAATAACCCAGAAGTCAGAAGGGAGACCCCAGTAAAGATACCCTGGAGAGGGGAATGGCTACCCACTCCAGTATTCTTGCCTGGGGGACTCCATGGATAGAGGAGCCTGGCAGGCTATATACAGTCCATGAGGTTGCAGAGAGTCAGACACTGCTGAGTGCCTAACACATCCATTCATTCACGCAGCAAAAGAAGTAGAAGACAGCTGTCAGGAAGACACTCGGTTTCGGGACTGGAAGGCCTCTGGGGCCCCAGCACCGCTCAGAAGGCAGAAGGGACACCATCCTCAAGACGCTCTGGCTCCATGGAGCTCCCGAGCTGGGCATGTTGGAGCCATCAGCCCAGGAGCCAAGGAGAGCTGAGGTAGCCCCGCAGTCAGAACGGTTTAGCACTTAACTGTTTAATTTCTTCAACAGAAGGGAAGTGGGGCTCCAGTTCAGCACCACAAGGGCAGTTCCCCTCCCCATGTGCCCGCTGCCTCCTTCTCTGCTGCCTCCCCTGGGAGCCCACAGGTCCACAGAGTTCCTGGCCTCTGGGATGTCGCCCCAGGTACCACCTGAGTTGGAGTAAGAAACACTATCTGGTCAGAGCAGAGTCGGAACCACCGAGCTGGGTACCGCTGGTGGCTGGGTGTCACCCAAGCTTCCTGTGTCCCGCCACACCTCAGTGGGTCATCCCCCGGCCCTCGGAGATGATGTCCTCGGGTTGGGCACGCATATACCACTCCACCCAGGAGCCGTCGTAGATGGGTACATCTGGCTTGCCGCAGAGGTAGGCCCCCAGGACCACATGGCAGGCTGTGACGCCAGAGCCGCACGTGGCCACCAGGGGCAGGGACAGGTCCACCTTCTTGTCCTGAAAGAGGCGGCGGATCTCCTCAGGGCTCTTCTCCAGGCCGTCCTCGGTCAGGAAGTCTGTGAAGGGGATGTTGATAGTGCCAGGGATGTGGCCGGGCTCGATGCCTGCAACAGGAGAGCAGGAGGCAGGGAACAAACATTTGTACAAGGGTGGTAGGAATGGCCCCTGCGGGACTGAGAACCTTCCATGCAGCCACACCACTACACTCTCTAAGCATCATCTCCGGTAGTCCACACCACCAGGAAACCCAGGCAACCACTGTCTACAGGAATCTGTTTTACAGGAGATGCTGAGGTTAACTACTGTCCAGTGTCACACATCTAGCGAATTGCTGCCTGGGATCTGAACCCAAGACTCAGACTCCACAGAAGCCACACTTTGCCCCAGGTTTCCTGAAGACTGACTGTGCTGACAATTAGAGGAAGTTCTAGGTAAATGGATGCTGGCATACTTGTTATTTTGCATGTGTGCATGCTCAGTAGCTTCAGTCACGTCCAACTTTCTGCAACCCCATGGACTATAGCCTGCCAGGCTCCTCTGTCCATTGGATTCTCCAGGCAAGAATACTGGAGTGGGTTGCCATTTCCTTCTCCATGGATGATGGGTGTTACTAAAGGCCCTCTTGGGTGGCATGGAGATATATCACATATCGTAAATAATAGTAATACACAGTAACAGGAATCACTGTAGCTGACCTTACTGAGGGTTTACTTTGTGCTAGGAGCCCCTCAGCTGTATTTTCCCCTTTAATCCTTGCTCTAATACTATGGGAAAGCACAGATGAGGAGATTGAGGCACACGGAACAGACTGGCCCAAACTAGTTGGAGCAGAGAGGTCCCAGAGCCTGTGCTGCCAAGCAGGACCCACTGCCTGGGAGGGGGAGGAGCATGGAAGCTTCTCTGAGGAAGCCCTAAGGGTGAATAAGATTTCACCAGGTGGAAGGGTCTGGGTGGTAGAAGCTGAGAGCATCCCAGGCAAAGGGCATCAAGCAGGCTAGGTCTCCAGCTGTGGAGGGGGGACAATGGGGATGCTGATATTCTCCACTGATTTAGATGGAGCCTGTACACACATCAGCTCGTTTACCTTGACAACAGGCCAGCTGGGCATTTATCCTTATCTTCCATTTACAAATGAGTGAGCACGACAAAGGTAAGCATTAAGCACCCCTGTAAAGACCCACAGCAAGGGAAGCACACATTAATTATCCCACTTCCCGTTTCTCAAGTGCATCCTGTATGTGCAAACACAGAACTAAGTGCTTAACACACTTGCTCTCATTTAACCCTCACTGCACCCTTTAAGCTCCATGTTCTGCCCTGACTTGACCCACGCAGAAGCTGTAGTTTGGAGACTAGGTGACCTGCCTGGTGTCACACAGCTAATGCAAGCCGGGGAGGGCTCTGAACCCAGGCCGGGCTCTGGCTCGCTGCCCTACGTTGCTCCATCTCCCCCACCCCCACCCAGGGGCTAAGCTGAAGGGTCCCACAGGTTCAAGGAGGCATCCCTATTAGGCTGAACCATCTCAAACTGCCACTAACTTAGGTTCAAAAAAGCTTGGCCATCAGCAGTTTCCCAGAGTCATGTCTACACAGCTCTGCAGGGTTCCCTGTGTTGGGACCTTGTGAATTCACCAAACCTCACTGGACTCCATCCAGCTGCTGGGTTAGTCTTCAGGACACACTAGGAGCATGGATGGTCCTTGCCCTCAGATCACCCTAACAGTGCTAGGAGAGGGTGAGCCCAAGCTGCTCTAGAAAAAGAAGCTCCAGCCAGCCCTGATTCAGGGGTAGCGGGATCCATTCAGGGAGAGCTTCCCAAAGGAAGTGGCAAGTTCCCTGCGCCCTCCTCAAAGCAGACATGAGAGAAACGACTAGGGGATTACTGGTTGTTCAGTGCAGTTAAAGGTACTGCACTGGGGTTCAACCCCTGGCTGCCTCCTGAGATCTGAGAAAAGGTGGCCCTTCTAAGGCTCCACATCCCCTTCTATATGAGAAGAGCACCCGTCTCGAGGGATTTTTTTTGGCTGTGCTGGGTCTTCGACAGAGCACAGGGGCTTCTCTTGTTGCAGAGAACAGGCTCTCTAGTTGTGGCTCGGGCTTAGTTGCCCTGCAGTTCCCCGATCAGGGATCGAACCCATGTGCTCTGCATTGGAAGGCAGATTTTTAACCACTGGACCACCAGGGAAAGAAGGAAATGGCAACCCCCCCTTCAGTATTCTTGCCTGAAGAATCCCAGGGACAGAGAAGCCTGGTGGGCTACAATCCATGGGGTCACAAAAGAGTCAAGACACGACTCACCGGCTAAACAACCACCAGGGAAGTCCTCTTGTGAGATCATTAAAAAGCTCACACCAAAGTGGTTATTGATCCACTTTCTTTGTGGGGACCCCTTCCCAACCCTGCTCCTTACAGATGTGAAGCCTTAGAATGGCCACCTCTCCCTAGATCTCAGGAAGCAGCCACATGTTGAACTCCGTGGGGAACCCAGCCCATGTGGGAGAGGCCCTGCCCCAACCAAGGCCAGCAACCACCCTCTATTCAGCTTCGGCTCCAATCTGGGGCGGTAATCTCTCTACTTGAGGCTCCTCAGTCCTACTCTCTGCTAGCCTTTGGCCCCTCTGACGACTTTCACTCTCCACTTTCTCTCTCCTCTTTCCTGGCTCCATCATCCTCAGAGATGGTGGTAGACCTGATCAAGCACCATCTATTTGGGGCTTTCCCCCAACTGGGCCTGTCCCCTCCTCCCATGTGGCAGTGACCCCCATCCATAGTACTGGGAGGGGGCTGTTTGAACTCTCACACTTATACAGGGCATTCTGGGTTTCCAACTAGTTTGGGGGTGGAGGCGGGGCAAATATTACTGCCTCCACTTTAGAATAAAGCCCAGTGAGACGACAAGAAACTGAATCTCAGCCGGCACCCCCACACTGTGGGGTGAATCTCAGCTGGCACTTCACCACCCCACCCTTTAAGGCAAGAGTGAGGTGGGGGCAGTGCTCAGGGTGCGCCCCAGGGACTCCTGGGCGCTTCGCGCATCGGTTACCGTCTCGGGGCTCGGGCTCCGTGCCCCGGAAGCGGCCGGCGGCGCGGGCATCCACCACCTGGAAGCGCCGGGATTCAATGTTCTCCTTGATGTCCTCGTACGTCTTGATGTAGGCCGGGTCCAGCACCGCGTGGAACTCTGCGGGCTCCGGACGGCTCTTCCCCGAGCTCAGCGGGAGGCCCTGGCGCAGCCAGTTGCGGAGGCCACCGTCAAGCAGAGATACGGTGCGGTGGCCGAAGACGCGGAACATCCACCAGACGCGCGGCGCCGCATAGAGGCCCTGATCGCTGGCGTCGTAGACCACCACGTGGGTGGCGGTGCCCACGCCCAGGCGGCCCACATACTCTGAGAACTGCGCCGCGCTGGGCAGCATGTGGTCATAGGGTGACGTGCGGTCGCTGCACTGGTCGATGTCAAAGAAGGCAGCGCCCGGGATGTGGCGCTCCTCGAACTCGCGGCGCGCGTCGCGGCCCAGCTTGGCCAGGTACCAAGAGGCATCGAGCAGCCGCAGGGGCTGCGCGGCCGGTGGGGCCCGGAGCGCCTCGGCCACCCACTGCGCTGACACGAGCGCGCGGAAGAGCTGCTTCGAGGCCATGGCGGTGGCGACAGTGGGGCTGCAGGCCTGGGCGACAAGGAGGAGGTCAGAAGGATATTAAGGAAGAAGCCAGTGGCCCAGGGGCAGAGGCGGGGTCTAGGGCTGGAGGGCGCAGTGGAGCCTAAGGAGGGCAAAGTCCAGGGAACGCGGAAAACCTGCGGTGGTGAACCCAAGATACAGACTTAGATCACCGGGAACCTCCCTTCCCTTGCCCTGCTAAGCCTGGGATATGTACACAGAGCAATCAGCAGAATGACCATGACCCCTTAGAGGAAGCAAGGCGATGGCTCTCACCACTGCTTGAGGCGGGGTGTATAGGGAGAGAGCCCAATTAGGAGAAGGCCCTGCTGGCTTCCCAGGTGGCCCTAGTGGTAAAGAACCCACCTGCCAATGCAGGAGACATGAGACTTGAGTTCTATCCTTGGTTTGGCAAGATCCCCTGCAGAAGGGCATGGCAACCTATTCCAGTACTGTTGCCTGCAGAATCCCATGGACAGAGGAGCCTGGTGGGCTACAGTCCGTACATAGGGTCGCAGAGTCGGACAGGACTGAAGTGACTTAGCACGCAAGCTCCCGGCACTTTAAGGCAAGTAGGGGCAAAGTCTTAGCCCCTCCCTAAGGTGCAGCTCAGCTTTGCCTGCAATCAGCCAAGATCCCAGGTGGAATTCACCCATTCGTGAAACATTTCCGTAAACAGCCTCAGGGGACTAGCAACTGGAATTAGTAAATTAATCCTCCTTCAATTCAGTTCACTCAGTCGTGTCCGACTCTTTGTGACCCCATGGACTGCAGCACAACATGCTTCCCTATCCATCACCAACTCTCAGAGCTTGCTCAAACTTATGTCCATCAAGTTGGTGATGCCATCCATCCAACCATCTCATCCCCATGTGTGCTTTAATACTCACAACACCTTACAACACTGCAGGACACAGGATAGGCTCTCAGTTATTTATGAGTAAACTCAAGAAGGTTGGTATTCTTCTCATTGTTTCCTGGAGGGGACACTGAAGTTCACAGAAGTGCACTGAAGACCAAGGTCAACAGCAAAGAAGTGGTGGTGTTTCCAGGCTTCACAGCAACTGCCAGGCAGTTCAGCAAAGTCTGATTTCACCCTTTGAGTTTCCTCTCGGGCTTTGCTGGCCTGCAATGCAGGAGACTGGGGTTCAATCTCCTGGGGAAGATCCTCTGGAGAAGGAAATGTCAACCCACTCCAATATGCTTGTCTGGAGAATTCCACAGACAGAAGTCTGGCGGGCTACAGTCCATGGGATCGCAAAGAGTTGGACACGACCGAGTGGCTAACTTTCTTCCTCTCTGGAAACAGCGATTAGGGCCTCACTCCCCACCCTCTTCTCTCCCTTGCAGGCCAGCAGTTCTGAGTATAGCAGTTTACCAGCTCACCATGACAAGTCAGCTCACAGCCTTCCAGGACCAGGCTCCAAATGTGTGGACGCCCTAGGTGCCTTTGAGCAGGTTAGAGAAAGGTGCTCCTTCTGCCAGGCAGAGGCACAGTCTCTACCAGAGCACGTGGCTGGGTGAGTGGAGTGTGAGCTGCAGGTCAGCCCCACCCACTGCCTTGGCTGTGTACCCCCCAGTGCAGGGTGCAACCTTGCATCCATTCCAAGCAGCCCTGCCACGAAGGGGAAGGGGGTGGGTAGAGAATGGAGCATTTTGTGGAGTGCCCCTGCAAGCCATGTACTAAGCAACACAGTCTTCAGCAGTCACTAGGTGGGGTTGCCTGTTTCTGAATAAGACCACTGGTGGTTAGAGATAAAAATGCCTTGCCCTAGTCACAGAGCTGGTCAGGGGCAGCCTCAAGATTTACAATTGGGTTGTAACTTCTGAGGCTAAGGCTTCCCAACCTGAAGGTCAATGATGACCAGGGCATGTGTGTCCACAGTGTGATATCTGGTGCCCAGTCCCCTCCTCAGTCTCGGTACAGCCTGGCTTTTAGGAACCATGCTGCCCATGTGACCAGGCCCTGGGAGTTAGCAGCCACAGGCCTGCTCAAGAGAGTGTAATTGCAGGACTTCCCTGGTGGTCCCATGGTTAAGAATCTGCCTGCTGATGCAGGGAACATGGGATCAATCCCAGGTCTAGGGAAATCCCACATGCCCAGGCTGTGGGGCAACTAAGCCGGTGTGCTGCAACTACTGAGCCTGTGCTCTAGAGCCCACGAGCCACACTCCTGAGCCCGAGTGCTGCATCCGCTGAAGCCCGCATGCCCCAGAGATGGTGTTCCACAACAAGAGAAGTCACCATAGTGAGAAGCCTGAGCACAACAAAGAACAGCCCCCGTTTGCCGCAACTGGAGAAAACCTGCGTGCAGCAACAAAGACCCAGTGCTGCCAAGAAGACAGAAAAGAGACACAACATAACTGTAGAAAGTCTGGAGTTCAGTGGGAGCAGAGGGGGCACACTAGCTCAGCCTGAGGTGTGAAGGTGGGGGGAAGGGAAAATCCAAGCTGATTTGTTCAGGGTGCGGCTGCCAGAGCCTTTGCCTAAGGGGTGATCCCAGTGCCTGTGGGTTACACTGCACTATGATTGTTGAGGGATTCGGCAGGCCTCTACCTGGTGTTGGAGGAGACTCTTGAGAGTTCCTTGGACTGCAAGGAGATCCAACCAGTCCATCATAAAGGAGATCAGTCCTGGGTGTTCATTGGAAGGACTGATGCTGAAGCTGAAACTCCAATACTTTGGCCACCTGATGCGAAGAGCTGACTCATTGGAAAAGACCCTGATGCTGGGAAAGATTGAAGGCAGGAGGAGAAGGGGATGAAAGAGGGTGAGATGGTTGGATGGCATCACCGACTCAAAGGACATGGGTTTGAGTAAACTCTGGGAGTTGGTGATGGACAGGGAGGCCTGGCGTGCTGTGGTTCATGGGGTTGCAAAGAGTCAGAGACGACTGAGTGACTGAACTGAACTGAACTGAACTACCTGAAGACCCCATTGTGAACCACAGTAGCCCCTCCTCACTCCTCATTATTGAGGCTCCTTGGTTTTTTCCCCAGGGATCTATTTAGAGTGGAAAGAATGCTGACTTGGGAGCCAGAACCCCTCCAAAGTCAGTGCCAGTCCCATGCCCCTCTTAACCAGGTGTATGCTGGGTGGGCATGTGAGGCACCCAGCACCATTTCCATTATAATTGAGCTTCCAATCTTCACCTCTTAATGGTGAAAATTAAATAATGGACATCAAGTGTTAGTCACTCAGTCATGTCTGACTCTTTGTGGCCCCATGGACTTTAGCCATTAGGTTCCTCTGTCTATGGAATTCTCTAGGCAATAATAATGGAGTGGGTTGCCATTTCCTTCTCCAGGGAATCTTCCTGACCCAGGGATCGAACCCAGGTCTCCCGCATTGGAGGCAGATTCTTTACCAACTGAGCCACCAGGGAAGCCCAAATGAACATCAAAGCACCACCATAATGCCCTGCACATTGCTGGTTTTAATAATCGTTAAAGACAGCTTCATAAAAATCCCATTATTTCTTCAAAGCTACTCTCATGGGTGGCCTCTGTTCCATCGTCAGCAAGTCTAGAATCAGAACTTCAGAGGTCTAAGGTCATCCTGCCACACACACACAAACACACACACTCACACTCCCTATGCTGGACTGAAAGCTCCCATGAAGAACTGTAGGAGGTAGAGGAAGTTTTGGGAGAGCAGGCCGTGTGTATCGCTGAAGGGTGTGGACCAGGTTCCGATGTGCTTGGGCAGGCATGGATGGCTGTAGGTGGGGCTGCTCCGGGAGTCAAGGACCCCCAGCCAAACAGGACAGCCCCAGGCCCATCTCCTGGGTGCACACTGTGCTAGGGGAGGTGTAAGCACCAGGCTGCCATCTGGGATGGGCCCTGGAATAGCAGGGTCCAGTCAGACTCGACTTCTACAAGGGCTTCCCTGGTCTTGTACTTCCTGGTCCCCTCTCTCCCTTGACTGCAAAGCACAAAGCTCAGAGAATTCCCTGGGTAAATGCTTATCAAAGTATGAATTTTTTCAACTTTCCGTGAGACTATCATTGTTTCAACATAAAAAGATTTTTTTCCAAGGGGGATGAGAAAAGCACTCCAAGCATACATAATAGCATATAAAAAACTGAGTATAGGGGGAGTAGGGGTGTCCCAATAGCTTGCAAGAAGCAGTTGTTAGATTTTCAGGAATTAAACCAACTGGTTGTTAAACACAGCCATTTTTAAAAATTAAATTATATTCACTTATAATGAAATAGGTTAAGGACAAAGGCAGTTTTTTTGGTTTTGTTTTTTAAATATGTAACTTCAGGGATGAGCAAGTAAACAAAAGCAGCCACTGCCACGTGGGCTTCAGATCCAGGATTAACAAATGGCCTGGCCTCAATGTTACCGCGAGCCCCTGGGCAACTCTTTTCCAAGTCTTTAAAGAAGTTTCTGAGCATTTCCCCTGAAATCAGGAACAAGACAAGGGTGCCCACTCTCACCACTACTATTCAACATAGTTTTGGAAGTTTTGGCCACAGCAATCAGGGCAGAAAAAGAAGTAAAAGGAATCCAGATAGGAAAAGAAGAAGTGAAACTCTCTCTGTTTGCAGATGACATGATCCTCTACATAGAAAACCCTAAAGACTCTACCAGAAAATTACTAGAGCTAATCAACGAATACAGTAAAGTTGCAGGATATAAAATTAACACACAGAAATCTCTTGCATTCCTATACACTAACAATGAGAAAACAGAAAGAGAAATTAAGGAAACAATACCATTCACCATTGCAACAAAAAGAATAAAATACTTAGGAGTATATCTACCTAAAGAAACAAAAGACCTATACATAGAAAACTATAAAACACTGATGAAAGAAATCAAAGAGGACACAAACAGATGGAGAAATATACCGTGTTCATGGATTGGAAGAATCAATATTGTCAAAATGGCTATACTACCCAAAGCAATCTATAGATTCAATGCAATCCCTATCAAACTACCAACGGTATTTTTCACAGAACTAGAACAAATAATTTCACAATTTGTATGGAAATACAAAAAACCTCGAATAGCCAAAGTAATCTTGAGAAAGAAGAATGGAACTGGAGGAATCAACCTGCCTGACTTCAGACTATACTACAAAGCCACAGTCATCAAGACAGTATGGTACTGGCACAAAGACAGAAATATAGATCAATGGAACAGAATAGAAAGCCCAGAGATAAATCCACGAACCTATGGTCACCTTATCTTCGACAAAGGAGGCAAGGATATACAATGGAAAAAAGACAACCTCTTTAACAAGTGGTGCTGGGAAAACTGGTCAACCACCTGTAAAAGAATGAAACTAGAACACTTTCTAACACCATACACAAAAATAAACTCAAAATGGATTAAAGATCTAAATGTAAGACCAGAAACTATAAAACTCCTAGAGGAGAACATAGGCAAAACACTCTCCGACATAAATCACAGCAGGATCCTCTATGACCCACATCCCAGAATTTTAGAAATAAAAGCAAAAATAAACAAATGGGACCTAATGAAACTTAAAAGCTTTTGCACAACAAAGGAAACTATAAGCAAGGTGAAAAGACAGCCCTCAGATTGGGAGAAAATAATAGCAAATGAAGCAACAGACAAAGGATTAATCTCAAAAATATACAAGCAACTCCTCCAGCTCAACTCCAGAAAAATAAATGACCCAATCAAAAAATGGGCCAAAGAACTAAACAGACATTTCTCCAAGGAAGACATACAGATGGCTAACAAACACATGAAAAGATGCTCAACATCACTCATTATCAGAGAAATGCAAATCAAAACCACAATGAGGTACCATTACACGCCAGTCAGGATGGCTGCTATCCAAAAGTCTACAAGCAATAAATGCTGGAGAGGGTGTGGAGAAAAGGGAACCCTCTTACACTGTTGGTGGGAATGCAAATTAGTACAGCCACTATGGAAAACAGTGTGGAGATTTCTTAAAAAGCTGGAAATAGAACTGCCATATGACCCAGCAATCCCACTTCTGGGCATACACACCGAGGAAACCAGATCTGAAAGAGACACGTGCACCCCAATGTTCATCGCAGCACTGTTTATAATAGCCAGGACATGGAAGCAACCTAGATGCCCATCAGCAGACGAATGGATGAGGAAGCTGTGGTACATATACACCATGGAATATTACTCAGCCATTAAAAAGAATTCATTTGAATCAGTTCTAATGAGATGGATGAAACTGGAGCCCATTATACAGAGCGAAGTAAGCCAGAAAGATAAAGACCATTACAGTATACTAACACATATATATGGAATTTAGAAAGATGGTAACGATAACCCTATATGCAAAACAGAAAAAGAGACACAGATGTATAGAACAGACTTTTGGACTCTGTGGGAGAAGGCGAGGGTGGGATGTTTCAAGAGAACAGCATCGAAACATGTATATTATCTAGGGTGAAACAGATCACCAGCCCAGGTTGGATGCATGAGACAAGTGCTCGGGCCTGGTGCACTGGGAAGACCCAGAGGGATCGGGTGGAGAGGGAGGTGGGAGGGGGGATCGGGATGGGGAATACATGTAAATCCATGGCTGATTCATGTCAATGTATGACAAAAACCACTACAATGATGTAAAGTAATTAGCCTCCAACTAATAAAAATAAATGGAAAAAAAAAAAAGAAAGTTTCTGGCCTACTCCCAGGGTTGTTATGGGAAGTAAGTGACAGCCATAGGAGTCCCCAGTAAAGCGCCTCAGCAAGCAGGCCTTGACAAATGTTAGTTTGGTTTCACTCCAGCAAGTTCTTTGCCAGTTTGTCCTCCTGGAGCCTGTGGGTCAGTTGGCCTTCTCCCGGTCAGGGTTTATTAGTCCTCCTCCCTGTCACCAGGTGACATCACCCTCCCCCTGCCACCTACCCCGACCCCACCCAGCGAGCCGCCCCCCAGCAGCCGCGGACAGCCGTCCTGGGGGTGAAGCCTGGGGTGCGTCTTCCCTCCTAGACTACGGCCCCTTGCTCTACTCAGGCCCCTCGGGAGAGCCCCACGCTGCGCACCCCGACGATCGGCCTCCCCCTAAAGAAAGGCAAGATCCACGCCTCAGCAGTTACCGGAGTCTCGGGCTCCGGGCTTCCGGGTTCCGCCATGACCTCGCGCAAAGATCCCCCTCCCCTCAGAAGTCCCCTCCTCCCGCCACAAACCTGCTGCGGGCCAAAGGGAGGAGACTCCGGCACAGCCCACCGCCCGGGCCACTGGGAGCCTCGGCTGCCGGCGCCTTCCACTGGCCGGGCCGGGTGGGGGGACGCCCGCGTCGCCGAGCCCCGCCCCGCGCCGCCCCCTGCGGTCTGGCTTCCTCCCCGGGTCCGGGCGGGTTCGAGACGCGCAGCGAGCCCGGGGACTGGCAGGCGGCGAGGGCGAGTGAGTGCGGCGGGGTGGGGCTGCGGTAGGCGCCCGGGCCGCTGGGGATTGGGCCGCCGGCCAAACTACCTGCGACCCTGGGGAGGGTCCCGGTGGCGAGAGCGGGGCGGGGGTGCCCCGGAAACCCTGGACCCAACTGGGGCAGAGGGCACCGGGCTGGGCCGGACGTGGGCATTTAGGACGCGGGCGACCCCAGGTTGCTGAGAGGCTGCAGGAAGGTTTGCGAGGCGAGAGGCGCGGATGAGGGCGGCTGCGGGCCTCCAGCGGACCATTTCCCATGCGCCCACTCCCCTACGCTCCCAGGAAGGGGTCTCTAAGCCCAAGATGCATTCTCCTCCCATCTTGGACATCTTTTCGCTGCTCCTGGAGAATCCTGAGGGAGAGTATAGTAGCTTCTAGGGCCAGACGCCCTCCCAGCCAGCTCCTCGATCCCCAGCCCTCTCGCTCCACCCACTTCTGCGCGGGCGGGGGGCGCAGGGAGCGGCGGAAGCAGGCTTTCCCTAGGGAATCTGCAAACCTAACCCACTGCACACCCCAACCCTGCCGGGTTGCCATAAACACGACACCCCTGGGGGAGTGCAGTGGGGGGAAAGCTCCTCCTCCCAGGCCCCAGTCCACTGCACGGACAGTCCTCACGCCGATCTCTTTCCTGGTTCCCACCCGCGCCAGGTGCCACGGAGAGCTGACACCATGGTTCAGCAGGTGCTCTACCGAGCGCTGGTCTCCACCAGGTGGCTGGCGGAGTCCGTCCGGGCTGGCAAGCTGGGCCCTGGCCTTCGGGTGTTGGACGCGTCCTGGTACTCGCCGGGCACCCGCGAGGCCCGCAAGGAATACCTGGAGCGCCATGTGCCCGGCGCCTCCTTCTTTGACATAGAGGAGTGTCGGGACAAGGCCTCGCCCTACGAGGTGATGCTGCCCAGCGAGGCGGGCTTCGCCGACTACGTGGGCAGTCTGGGCATCAGCAACGACACGCATGTGGTGGTGTACGATGGTGACGACCTGGGCAGTTTCTATGCGCCGCGGGTCTGGTGGATGTTCCGTGTGTTTGGCCACCGCACCGTGTCCGTGCTCAATGGTGGCTTCCGGAACTGGCTGAAGGAGGGCCACCCGGTGACATCTGAGCCCTCACGCCCAGAGCCAGCCATCTTTAAAGCCACGCTGAACCGCTCCCTGCTCAAGACCTACGAGCAGGTGCTGGAGAACCTAGAATCAAAGAGGTTCCAGCTGGTGGATTCACGGGCCCAAGGGCGATACCTGGGCACACAGCCGGAGCCAGATGCAGTAGGTAGGTGCCCCGTAGGGGGATAGTCCCTGGGGAGCAATGCACATGGAGAGATGGGGAGTAGGATGTCTGGGACCCTCTCCAGGTTTTGCCCTCAGCAGCCCCCAGGAGGGCCTCCGTCTTTCCATCTATAAAATGAAAGGGGAGTGCCCAACCTAAGGTTTTTCCAGTTGTGATGCATGGTAACGGACACATGCCTTCCCGTAGCCACATGCAAAGGCACAACCGAATATCTGTGTGGAGTGGCATCAGCAGAGGTAACTGAGAACATATCCACCTGCATCCATGCCCACGCACTAGGTCCCCAACATGCTCAATAGTATCCATGAGCCACACAAATACCGCTGTACAGAAGTCTCCTCAGGACCCCGTGAGTTCTTCAGAAATTCTTAGCAACATGAACAGTGCTATTTCCCAGCCCCCCCTCCCTCTTCCAGCTCTCCCAGACCCCCTGACCTTCCTTAGGTTGCTTGCTTAGCTTAGTGGCAGAGTCCAGAGTTGAACCCAGTACTGCCTAGTTTCAAACCAGGATGCAGCACCGTCCTGCCTCACCCTCACCTCCTGGGGCCAGCAGGGAGCCCCTTCACCAGGCATCTCTAAGGATATGGCTCATGAGTCCCCTTCTGTAGACAAAGAGGGAGGGTTCTACACTGGTGGAAGTTGGGGTGGGGTGAGTCTCAGAACTGCATTCTAGAACCTCCTAACAGGACCACAGAGGTCTTGCCATCACCCTCCTCCTGAACACCTCCGGTGGCCGCGACCTCACTGCTCTCAGGGCACAGGATGGCCTGGAGGTGCTGCAGCGCTGTCCTCAGGAA